GCCAAGGCGCCTGTTGTGGGTTTTCGACCTTGCGAGCTTTGTTCTTCCGCCTTATTTCTCTTTTTCATATTTCTCTTTTTTTTCCCTTTTTTTTTTTAACGTTGCTTTGTTTAGGGACTGTAGTGCACATTTATGATTTTTATTTTTAAAAAATTTATAATTAAAAATTATATTTTAATAGAATAGAGAAAAAATAGAGAGTTTATTAACGGGTGAATTACACTAATTGTCCCTATAGTTTGGGTCTTATGTCATTTTGGTTCATAACTTTTCAATTATGACACATTTGACCCTGAATTTTTAACCTTATTCCAAATAAGGACAATTGAAGATACCATTGCTCAATTTTAAGGGTAAAGTCGTCAGTTTGATAAAATATAAACTAATTTAATAAAAATAAATGTCAAAAATATTTTTAAATTTTTAATTTCTACCCACTAAAGATAAAATTATATAAAATTGATAAATCTTTTAGACATTTATTTATTTATTTATTACCAAATTAATTTTTATTATGTGTTTGGATAATGATCCTGTAATGGATGGTTGTTTTATTTTTTCATTAAAGTAGTTTCTATTTTTTCAAAAATTAAATATCGCGACAATTTTGATATCATTATTAAACCAATCCATTAAATCAAAAAATTCAAAACTAAAAATATTTCATATATTACATATATTGATTACACATTAAAAGTCTAACAACCATTCATTACATGATCATCATCCAAACACATAATAAAAATTAATTTGATAAAAAAAAAATATCTAAAAGATTTATCAATTTTACATAATTTTATCTTTGGTGGGTAGAAATTATTTTTAAAAATTCAATTTTTTTTTTATATTTATTTTTGTCAAATTAGTTTATATTTTATCCAATTGACGACTTTGTCCTTAAAATTGAGCAATAATATCTTCAATTGTCCTTATTTGAAACAAGATTCAAAATTTAGGGTCAAATGTATCACAATTGAAAAGTCATAAGCTAAAGTGATACTCGCCCCAAACTATAGGGACTTTTAGTGTAATTAGCCATTTTTTAATAAAATAGAAAAAGAATAGAGAGTTTATTAGGAAAAGCAGATGAAAAAGTGACTATTAAAATAAGGAATGAAATTTTTTAATAATATTTTAAAATAAAATTTAAGTATGCTAGTAAGGATGCTCTTAGGGGCCATTTGGGAAGCAAATAAAAAACTAACTTTTAATTTTTAATCTATTTTGAATCACATCATCTTCTATATTTTTTTTTATATACATAAGAAGTCAAAAAAAAAAAAAAAAAAAAAAAAAACCAAAAAAATTAACTTTTAACAAACTTTCTAAACCATCTCTTAAGCGAAAAGCGGGGAGGTTGTGACTTGAATCTAAAGTCATAAAGTGAGTGCAATCAATCAATCACAAGAGTAGGCAAATAGTTGAACATTGTGAAAAAACACAAGATGAGAAGAGTAGGCAAAGAATTGAGTTGAACATTGTAAAAAAACAAGATCACGAGAGTAGGCGAAGGCCTATTTTGTAAAAATAGTTTTAATTAAGTTTTTTATTTTTTTAGATAAATAATTTAAAAATTTGGTAAAAAGTTACTTTTGATTTTTTTTATTAATATTTATTTATGATGTCAAATCATAATATAATGACCAAACTATCTTCATTTAATTTAAAATATTTACAACTTCACCTATTAGCACATTTTGACTCATGAGGGGTAGAATTGTAATTTCACCATTGGTTAAAAACCAACTTCCCAAATGAAACAAAAAAGCCAACTTTTAGGACCTGTTTGGCAACCATTCCGTTTTCATTTTTCAGTTTATATTTACAAAAAATTTAAAAACTGTCATAAAATCTTGTTTGATAATTTTTTTTGTTTATAAATGATTGTCTCAGTTTATAAATTTGAGGAAAAAACGTAAACTCAAAAAATGAGTTTACGTTTTCAGTTATTTTTTTTTCAAATAATTTATTTTCAATTATTTTTTTTTCAAAAAAAAATTTTCATATAATTTTTTTTTCAATTAATTTTTTTTCAAATATTTTTTTTCAATAATTTTTTTTTCAATTAATTTTTTTTCCAATTATTTTTTTTTCAATTATTTTTTTAATTATTTTTTTTTCAATTATAATGTGTGTGATCCCATTGTCATAAATAATAAAAAATAAATATAAATATTTTAGGCCTGGACAAACATATTTTTTAGTTTATGTTTTTAAATTTTTTAAAACATTTTGTTCAAACCGTTTATAATTTATATTTTTCTAAAAATAAACAAAAATCAGTTTATAAATTTTTTGTAAACATAAACAAAAAATGTAAACGTTACCAAACGCTATCTTAATTTTACTACAAATCAAAAAAAGTGACTAAAAACTATGTTCCCAAAAAAGGCCAAAGAGTGGAGTTGAACATTGTGAAAAAACACAAGATCACAAGAGTAGGCAAATAGTGGAGTTGAACATTGTGAAAAAAACAAGATCACAAGAGTAGACAAAGAGTTGAACATTGTGAAAAAAAACAAAATTGAAAAAGTTCTCTTCTTTTCACCCTTTAAAAAATAGAAGAAACAAACAGATACTGTAGATCAAGAATTTGCATAGATTTGAACATTCACAAAAAAGAAATCAAAAAGTAATATTATTTTCATCCTTTTAAAAAAATAAAAAAATAGACAAAACATAGATTGTGGATCAAAGCATGCATGAAAAAGTTAAAGATTTTTAACCCCACCACCCACCACACCATGTGCTTGGGCAAGCATAATGGCAATCTCCACATTATACTACCTCAAATAGAACCCACATGACTCCTTCATTAGTTTAATCTAATATTTGCATATTATAGTTTAAACTATACTTCATTTTTTGTTTTACTTTGAACTAACTTGTTTTTGTGATTTGTCACATTATCACATACAGTAATGTACAACCATCAAATCTAAATCTTTAAAATTTTAAAGAAGTATAGACACATCTACTTATTAATATGTCGAATTGTATTAAATTTTTTTGAATTTGACATTCTCATTTGGGAAGTTTGTTCATTAGTTAAAAAGTCACATCTTTTTTTGAATTCTTTTGTTCTTAGCATTTTTTTTTTCAAAATTATATTTACATTTTTGTCTTCTATAAATGAATCTAATAAGTAAAAAATCAAAAATCAAAAAGGCAAAATAAGTAAAAAAAAAAAAAAAGTCTCCTATTTTTGGCTTACTTTTTTGGATTTTTTTTAAAAAAATTTTAATTTTTTTTATAAAATTTTTCGATTCGTCTTATCAAGCTAATCTAGAAACCTAAAACTTTTTAGAAAAATTTCACTAAAGACTAAAATAAAAACAAAAAAAATGGCAAAATAAGCAAAAACCCAAACATCTAAGCAGAAGTCAATACTCATTGTTTCAATATTTTACTATAATTAAAAATAAAATGATATCTTCAATAGGTTCCTTTCCTTGTCATTCATACAGGCAAGACTTCGTTTCAATTGCATATGCGTGGCGATTATGAAATTTATTTTTATGATTTAAATTGTTTATATTATAAGATTATTAATAATAAAAAAATAATTAAACAATTACAAATAAATAAATTAGAAAAGTTTTTTAAACTTATTGTTTTGTGGCTATGATTGTTCAATTAATTTAATTTAATTTTATAAAAATAATTAATTCAACAAATTATATAATAAGAATAATTTAAATTAGTAAAGATTTTATAATGAATCCACAAGTGCCAAGAGCATCTCTATCGGGGACTTGCCCAAAATGAAAAGGTAAGCATTAAAGAAAGAAATGGTGCCAAGATCATTCACGTCCTCTCACGTTACTCATGTCGACGACACATCTGAGACAGGCATGGGCATATTACAGACATCAGTTAGGAAAAGTGTGTTGAAGAACAGCCACCAACATACTCATCTATACCCATAAATTGCAAAACAAAAAAAGTGTTAAATTGTTACAAGGAGAGGGCAATTTTGGATAAAATACAATTATGGTTTTTCAATTTTTCATTTTATTAAATCTTATTCTGAATTCTTGAAAGTACAAAATTTGAGTCAAATTTCAAACTACTGTCATTTATGTTCCATTACCTTTGAATAATTCAAGAATCTTATAATTGAACCATCAAAATTCAAGTTTCGTTTGGCATTAGATAATATATCTAACTTTTTTATAGTGAGACTTTTTTAATCTGTCTTTTTTAATCTCGTTTAGTTTAAATTTTTAAACATTTTTTAAAAAAAAATATAATAAGCATAAGTTAAATGTAATATTTTATCTTATTGACTTATTTAGGCCTCGTTTGGGAACAGGCTAATTTAGTAACTTTTTGGCTATTTGGCTAAAAAGGTAAGTAAAAAAAACTTGTATGTTTGGGATGACTTTTTGGCTAATTACGAAAAGATGTGCAAAAAGTAGAGAGAAAAGAGAATCTTTGACTTTTTGGTATGAGTTGTTGGCTTTTTGACTAATTTAGTAACTTTTTGACTAATTGGCTAAAATAGCCTCTTGCCAAACGAGGCCTAAGGGTTGGTTTGGGGTGTCCTAAAAAAGTACACTTTTTGTCTTTTTATGAAAAGATGTGCAGAAAAGTAGAGAGATGATGTGATGAAAAAAAGATAAAAAGATAGATTATATAGGTTATGCCAAACCAGGCCTTAATCTAGTTTTTCATTTTTTACTTTTAAACCCCAAAACGATAGCCAAACCAGGCTCACAAATCCAAAGAAGTCAAAATGTTTTAATGATTATAAGGTAGGTCGGTTTACTTGATCTGGAAAATCATTTTATTGCAAATCAATTAATTGCAGGATAAAACAGAAAGGTCCTAACAATAGAGATAAGGTCTTGCTAAGATGATGATGGTGCTGTAAGAGACAAGCTGGGATCAGAACTATGATCTCATGATTATTATTGTTGTGTATAACCACAATAATGGAGAGATTCATGGTTCTTCAACTCCACCAAAAAAAAGCATAATTCCAAATAGACAAGACATGAAGGGGGGAAAAAAACTCATTCAACTTCCATTGATGGTGTACACAAAGGATTTTTGTACAAGTTACACCTCTCTCTCTCTCACCCTCCGATGAGCTTGTGCCCACCGGGGTGATTTGCTTTCCTAATACTTAACATTTTAGTAAATTTACACTTGCAAGCAAAGCTTGTCTGTCCCCTCTCAGTTGTTGTCATTGTTGTTGTTGTCAGTATCGCAAAATTTACCATCCATCCTGTTTTGAACAGCTTTGACAGCAGCAACTCTAGCAGCAGTGGCAGCTTTGTTTGCAGCCATCACCGCCTTGTTCACTTGTTCATCCACTCTCCGAATGTGAATTGCATTAGCAGCTGTTTTTCTAGCAGCCTGCAATTTTGATACATAGAAAGGGCAAAAGTTTATTTTTACCTTGTCATGATGCTTAATTCCAATTATAAATATGACAATTGAATGGGATAACAATGATGAGAACACACACACCTGTAGTGCTCGCAGGACTGCGTCCGTTAGTAGGGGTAGAGGTGTCTTAAGATTGCCACAGTCCCATTCGCCACACCTTGTGTCACCATTTCTGAACGTATACATGCCATACCCTTGTTTACGGCCTTCATGCCACGAGCCCTCGTAGCAGTGGCCATTAGCAAAGTGATATACGCCAAATCCATGGATTTTGTCGCCAAAGTATTCCCCGCCATATCTGTCCCCATTTCTACACACACACCAAAAAAAAAAAACAAAAAACTATTAATATTAATGAAATTACATGTCTTATTCTAGATTCTAGAACTCAATTCTTTAAAGAACACACAAACTTTACAAACATTATAAAAGTGATTGATAAACCAATTTCTCCTCCATCAAAGTTTCCAAACATGATGACATCAAAGCTCCAATGCAGGACAAAATCAAAAAGTCAGGCGCTAACTACAACTCCATCTTAGACGACATAAACGCATAATTACATGGCCGTTATGAGAAGGATGGAAAATCAAAGTTCAAAAGTTATTTCCCAGACAGAAAAGCTATGACAAGTAAATGCAAGAACACACAACAGCTGCAGCTTTCCGATTGATTCTTAAAAGGAAAAATTCCATTCCCAAATTGCAGAAGCAGACAATCAAGAAAGTGACTACGGACATAAATATGCCTCAGATTCAGATGTTTGAGAGATTATGGAATATAATTAAGAATTCAAATAAAATGTCAAACATAAAATTTCTACATTCTATTCATCTGGGTTCATCAATAAACATAAAATTTCAATACAAATTAAGAAATTAGCACAATCTCAAGAAAAAAATCAAGAAACAACATAAACCAAATAAAGAAACAATTTTTATCTACCAATGGGCACTCAAGAAACTAAACCAACAACAAAATTCCAATTCATAAACAATTTTTAAAAACAGTAATCCTCACAAGATTACACAGATCAAAATAATCATAAACAATCTACCGTTCTATTAATCATTAACAGTTCAAAAATAGTAAAGATCACACATGGAAAAACCAATAAAAACCAATCAATGCTAAAGATTCAAAATTCAAAAAACTTAGAACATTGAAATTGAAATTGAAATTGAAGTTGATGAGTTTTTTTTTTTTTTTTTTTTTTTTTTTTTTTACACCTAATGGTAGCAACCAAGGCCATGCTTGACCCCACACTTGAATTCACCAATGTAACAGCTTCCATCAGAGCAAGTTTGAACTCCAACTCCATGGCTCTGCCCATTAAACCATTCCCCTGAATAAGTATCCCCTGTATAGAACCTATAAACCCCAAAACCGTGCCGGAGACCATGGCTCTGCCCATTAAACCATTCCCCTGAATAAGTATCCCCTGTATAGAACCTATAAACCCCAAAACCGTGCCGGAGACCTTGTCGATACTGACCCCGGTACCGGCTACCTCTAGCCCAGCTCTCAATTCCATACCCATCATGCCTCCCATCAACCCAATCACCCTCATACCTTCCATTTACAAAGTAATTGTACACTCCACTCCCATTACACCTCCCCTTATGAAACTCCCCTTCGTAGAAATCGCCATTGCTGTAAAACTCAACACCTTCTCGTATAATTCGCTTGTCTTTTCCATCTCTTTTGTCCTTTATCGACTCTGTGGACTCCCCGATGAACCATTGGACCGGTTTGGGATTGTTTTTGGAGAACCCAAGTTTCTTTTTGTACTCATCCAAGATTTTTCTCAGAAATGCCAAGGTTTGGTGGACCAAACCCTTGTTCTTTCCGGCGAAAAAGAGCAAGACAGCGAGGAAAATCAGGGCTAAGAGGAGGTTTTCCGATGTGGGTACGTCGTCGTTTCCGAAATAGAGGTAAAGGGTGTAGAGAGTGATGGAGAGTATAGCGAGAACGGGGACGAACCGGCGATAACAGCGACGAACCGGGGCTGAACCGGGCTTGTGTGGCTTCTGTTCTTCTATGTCTTCTTCTTGCTCTGACGTGATCTCGTTCACGGAAGAGAGGCTGTGGATTGACGATCGGATGGTCGGAGATGACCGGAGAAGAGACGACTGAGTCCTCGTAAGCTTCGCTTGGCTCTTAGGACCGTCCATTTGCGTGGTTCCCTCTATACAATCTCTAATCTACAGCCGTCTGATCTTAACCCTATTGGGCACTCCTGTACCGCCGGAGTCATCTCAGGCGTGGAGCGCAGGATAAGCAGTGGTGTGCGCGCAAGTTAGCAGCAGCAGCAAACAACTGAAAGAGAGAGAGAGAAATAGTTTTAGAGAGAGAGAGAGAGAGAGAGAGATGTGGGGTGTGTTGTGGACCGAGTTTTGGTCCTTCGAAATATATGGTGATTTGAGGTGGGGCCCGTCTGATCTTAACCCTATTGGGCCCTCCTGCACCGCCGGAGTCATCTCAGGCGTGGAGCGCAGGATAAGCAGTGGTGTGTGCGCAAGTTAGCAGCAGCAGCAAACAACTGAAAGAGAGAGAGAGAAATAGTTTTAGAGAGAGAGAGAGAGAGAGAGATGTGGGGTGTGTTGTGGACCGAGTTTTGGTCCTTCGAAATATATGGTGATTTGAGGTGGGGCCACTTGGGTTTAATCTAGGCCGTTGGATGGGGATCGGAAGGTGAGATCTGCATGGGGATTTAGGGCCGTTGGATTGGCTTCATGTGGGAGTGCCGTCGGATCTAGATTCGGCCTTTTGCTTTATTGTTGCAGGCCGGCACGTGCCACTCTTCAATTCTTCAAAAAAGTGTTAATTACAATTTTTAATCCCAAAATTTATTGTTGGTATAATTTTGATTCTTAAATGCGTAAATTGTATCAATTTAATTTTCAAAATATACAAAATGAAAGAATTTGGTTTTTCAACCTTACTCCTTCAGTAGAGACTATTAAATTCACTAATAAAAGAATTACGTTTTTGGTCTAAATATGTGATCTATATCATTAATTTGAAAATTCACTTAACCTAAAGGGTTAACTTGGTAACTAAGGTTTGGGGTTTGAGAGAGTGCTCTATCAAATGTCTCAAGTTCAAATTTTTTATTTTTTTAAATACACCTAATTTAGATATATTTAAAAAATATAATATTTATTTATTTTTAAAAAAATGCAAATTTTTTTTTCTTTATATTCACTTAATTTTTTAAAGATTTTTGTTCAAATTTTATATTTTTTAAGTATATCAAGATTAAATAGACCTAAAAATTAAAATAAAATTAAAATATTTAAAAAATCACTAAAAATACAAAATATTAATTGAAAATTCAGAAAACTATTTTTGAAAACTAGAAATCAAACCGAGTGATTTTTTTTTTTGATTGGTTTTTTTTTTTTATAGGCCCTAAAAAATGCATTACTAAAAAAATTGTAATTATTAAAAATAGAAAAGAAGAAGTGTTTAAAAATTGTAATTAACCCCCAAAAAATTAGTTCACGAGAAAAAGAATGTGTTTCGTGGTTTGTAAACGGTGGGTGTGATTAAAGCTACATGACGATCCCATCACCGTTGGTTTTTAATCATTGCATTATTTAATTGACTAAATATTGGATTTTTAAAAAATTGGATTTTCAAAAATTTTAATAATAATTTTTTATTCTGTCAAATTAATTTCTAATTTTTTTAAAAAAATTAGAAAACTCAGCCAAACAAAGCCAGAATAATAGAAAGGGCATGAATCCTGTTGTTATGTATTCTGTTTCATGATCTGGCAAAACAAATACATTTCTAGGGCCTTAAACAAGAGTAATGGTTGTTTAAGGGTTGCTTTACAATAGGGGAAATTACATTTCAGTCCAATTTTTCAAAAACAGTTACAAAATCATGGAAAAATTCATGAATTGAACTTGAGTATTTTATGTTTTAAGTATATGCTTATAGAGACAAATTTGAGCCAAACTCAAAAGATTAATAATTTAAAAAAAAATTAAACTTATTTACATACTAAGTTACTCTAGGGCTGCAAAATGAATAGAATTGTTCGTGAATAGATTCGAGCTTGGCTCGGTAAAAGCTTATTCGAAATCAGTTCGTTAATTTTTTTTTTTGTATTAGTTCGAGCTCGTTAAATTTTTAATAAATAAGTTCAAATATATTAAAACTCGGCTCATTAGCTGGCTCGGTTAACATTTATTATTTATTTATTAAATAATATAAAAATATGTATAAAAAATAAAATAAATATGTTATTTATATATTTAAAAAGTATAAATATAAATAATAGTTAACTATAAATAGTACATTTGGTGGTAGATATTATTGTTATGGTAGAATATTGACTTTCTTTAATATATTGTATATATAATTGTATAATCAAAATTTTAATTATAACTTTAGTCTTATATGCAAGTATGAATTTATAAATTTTTTAACTCGTTAAGACTTGTGAATAAACTCGAGTTTGAGTCAAGCCTAAACTAACTCGACTTGAGCTTGATTCATTAAATTTTTATTGAGCTCAAGTTCGACCTCGAACTCGTTAAAATCTTAATAAATAAGTTCAAACATACTAAAGTTTGGCTTAATTCGACTCATTTGCAACCCTACTCTAGAACGAGCAACCTAATTCAAGTAACTTGGTTGATTTTACATTCTAATTTTTTTTCTTAATGTAATATGACATCTAATTTCTAGTGAATAAAACATTCCTAAAATATTAGATATATATATCGACTTTTTTTTTTTATTTTTTATTTTTTATCTAATTTAACTCAGCTCACCAAAATCATTGCACCTTATTATAAAAAGTCAAGAATTCAATTTTTGCCATAAGCAATAGTCCCCATTCCATGGATATATTCTCCAATGTATCAAGAGTAAGGTAATAAATTACACTTTGTCGTAATTAGTGAATTTCTAATTTGGCACTTGACATATTTTTTTTGGGGGGGCTTAATATGGTCCTTATGTGTCTAATTGTTCCCCATAGCTAAAGGTCATCCAAGCTTTCTATTATACTTTTTAAAATAATTTTTTTTAACTTCAATTATTGCATATCTATTTGTTTTAATTGCAGAACATTTAAAACACAATCACTCATCTCTAAGTCATTATTACTCCAACGTCTGTCTAAAAATAATTTCTATAACCAAATTGAAGTATTCTTTGTTCAATATTATAAATTAGAGTTTGGCTTGATTATCTCAACTTGAGAAAACATTTGAATTTATACTCACTTTGGGATATATTTTAGTGATTCAGACCGTTGAATTTGTAAGATTCGTTGAGAAAAATATTCATATAAAAATTTAAGATAGTCGGACATCAGTAGTTATACATTGGAATCAAATTTGTAGTCATACAAAACATTAAGATAATTGGACATCGGTAGCTATATATTTGAATTAAATTTATATTACAAAAAATAAATGACTATTTTTTAAATTATATTTGTCGTCTATTTTTTTAAAACAAATATGATTCAAATATATAATTACTAATATTTAATAATTTTGATTTTTTACATGAATATTTACTCAATGAGTTGTAAAAAGTGAATAGTTGGGATCATTAAAATCAGTCCCAAAATAAACTTATTAAGTCCAAACACTCTCAACTTAAGACAAGCCAAACTCTTTAAATTAATATCAAATAAACTTATCATACATATTTATTTAAGGTGCATATATGCCACAACATACTTTCTATTATAATTTTTAAAATAATTTATTTAGTCTTGCTTCATTTTTTATAAATTTAATTTAAAAAAAAAATTGAATGCACAATTAGTCTTCAAATTTAAGTTACTACTATTTAAATAAATTGGAGCAATCATTTTGTACAATAATAATATTTTTTTCTTTGTACATTTACATAGTGCCTATTTTCTTGCTCATTGTATGATTGTACTGTTAATTCTAATAAATTAAAAAGATAAATAGGGGTGCATTAGATGCACCTTATTACGTATTTTTGTAGCATGTTACGTATTTTTGTGATAAATGTTATATATTTTTTAATAAAAATTATAATAATTTGTGATTAAAAAATGAAATTACACATTTTTGTGATATTGTTACACATTTTATGATTAAAAAATATTTGGATAAAATAATGTGTAACGTCATTTCTAAACCACAATTGTCTTAACATTTGCTACAAAAATACGTAATAAGTATATATAGTACACAATCTGTACAATTTTTTCCTAAATATATCATTGAAAAATGTTAGAAACCCTAAAAAAATCTCTCATAATTATATCCGTAATAATGTATTATGACATGTGTCAAGCGTGGACTCTTGATTTATAGGCCAAACTCCCTTGTTATATCATTTGGGAATAAATTGATGGGTTGTGCCGATATATCATTACCTAAGGGGTTTATTCCATGTGATTCCAATCAACTTTTTCTTTTTTTTGAATGTCAAAAGTACCTGGAATTGAAAATGGATGAAAGTCCAAAGTTTTATTGGGTGAGACAGTTGAGTTTTTCCTTCTAAGATTCTTCCTGTAAAGCACTTCGAAAACCATCTCATTACTCATCAGGAGAATCAACAATAGATAAATATGTATTTTTAATAAATTTTTTTCACAAAAAAGAAAGGATGTTAACAAGGTATAGCCCAAGCACATGATCTGCGTTTGAATATTTTTAATTTTTTTTTTCAAAGTGCTTTTTGTAATTTTTTTTACTCTATTTTGGTGTAAGCTTGGTCGTTTGATGGCCCTTGTAAATGTTGTTTTTGGATTAATGGATTTCTACTGATTAAAAAAAAAGTAAAAATTAAAGAGAATTATTGTCCAGTGAGATAGAAGAAAAAAAATTATAAAAATATGGAACGGTTTAAGTGAGATTTGTGCCTGTAATATACTCATAATTTTTTTTTTACTCTCTATTAGACAGTAATTTCCCTTAAAAATTAATCTAATTAATGATTCTTTTTCATCCAATCCGAATAAGATCTGTAAAACCCAATTTAACTTGAAAAGCTTTGATCATTTGATTTTTCAAATATCTATTTAACTATTGCAACTGTAAGGTCATTTAATACAAATTCAGATGACTTTTTGGTAATTGACTTCTCATGTCCAACTGAAGAGGTCTTGTCGGCCTTGGTGGTCTCACCTGGGGTCGGTGATCTTAACCTTCATCTTGTGGGGTCAAGTAAAAGCTTATTGATGTAAAAATTTAAATTAATCTCATATTGGTAGTGTAGTTGGGGCATCCTAGGCTTGAATAGAGATCTCGCACATGAAGTTAATCAAGTTAATTACTCATAGGTCCTTTTATATAGATATGTGCATTATTACATCTTATAAATATTTGGATAGATTAAAAAGTCTCACAACTGTTACTGACATTTATTTGCGACGATTT